ACTTCCTGATAGGTCAGGAACCATAGGAAATGTGGGACACCTTTGAGTAAAATTCACTTAAATTTCTAGTACTGTAGGTAAAACCTAGTAGTTTCTAATACTTAGTTTCGTATCCTTCAGATATCAAATAATAGAGGCTTTAAAAGTTCAATCTAACCTTGATCCCCAAACCAGGAAAAGACACAAGAAAATTATAGATCAGTATCACTAATGAATATTGATGCAAAAATATTCAACAAAATCCTAACAGAATCCAGCAACACATCAAAAAAATTATACACCACATAATAAAAAAAAATTATATACCACAACCAAGTAGGTTTTATCCCAGGGTCCCAAGGCTGGTTCAACATATGTAAACCCATAAATATAATTAATCACATAAATAAATTAAAAAACAGACCATATGATTCACTCAATTGATGCAGAAAAAGATTTTGATAATATACAGCATCTCTTCATGATCAGAACACTTAAGAAAATTGGTATAGAAGGGACATTTCTTAAACTGATAGAGGCCATCTACAGCAAACCTACAGCCAATATCATATTGAATGGAGTTAAATTGAAATCATTTCCACTCAGATCAGGAACCAGGCAAGGTTGCCCATTGTCTCCAGTGCTCTTTAACATTGTAATGGAAGTTTTAGTCATCGCAATTAGAGAAGAAAAGGCGATCAAGGGTATCCATATAGGGTCAGAAGAGATCAAACTTTCACTCTTCGCAGATGATATGATAGTATATCTGGAAAACACCAGGGATTCTACTGCAAAACTCTTAGAAGTGATCAAGGAATACAGCAGCATCTCCTGCTACATAATCAACACTCATAAATCAGTAGCCTTCATATATACCAACAATAGTCAAGCTGAATAAATAGTCAAGGACTCTATTCCATTCACAGTAGTGCTAAAGAAGATGAAATATTTGGGAGTTTACCTAAAAAAGGACATGAAAGATTTCTATAAAGAGAACTATGAAACTCTAAGAGAAGAAACAGCTGAAAATGTTAACAAATGGAAAAACATACCACGCTCATGGCTGGGAAGAATCAACATTGTTAAAATGTCCATACTACCCAAAGCAATATATAATTTTAATGCAATCCCTATTAAAGCCCCTCTGTCATACTTTAAAGAGCTTGAAAAAATAATACTTCGTTTTATATGGAAATCAGAAAAAACCTCGAATAGCCAAGACGTTACTCAGAAATAAATAAAGCAGGAGTCGTCACACTACCAGACCTCAGACTAAACTATAAATCGATAGTGATCAAAACAGCCTGGTACTGGCACAAAAACAGAGAGGTAGATGCATAGAACAGAATAGAGAACCAAGAGATGAACCCAGCTACTTACCATTATCTGATCTTTGACAAGCCAATTAAAAACATTGAGTGGGGAAAAGATTCCCTATTTAACAAATAGTGCTGGGCGAACTGGCTGTCAACCTATAGAAGATTGAAACTGGACCCACACCTTTCACCATTAACTAAGATAGACTCTCACTGGATTAAAGATTTAAATTTAAGCCATGAAGCTATAAAAGTGTTAGAAGAAAGTGTAGGAAAAACACTTGAAAAAATTGGCCTGGGCAAAAATTTCATGAGGAGGACCCCTCAGGCAATTGAAGAAACATCAAAAATACACTTCTGGAACCTGATCAAACTAAAAAGCTTCTGCACAGCCAAGAACACAGTAAGTAAAGCAAGCAGAAAGCCCTCAGAATAGGAGAAGATATTTGCAGGTTATGTCTCTGACAAAGGTTTAATAACCAGAATCCACAGAGAACTCAAGCGTATTAGCAAGAAAAGAACAAGTGATCCCATCTCAGGGTGGGCAAGGGACTTGAAGAGAAACTTCTCTGAGGAAGACAGGCACATGGCCTACAGACACATGAAAAAATGCTCATTATCATTACTTATCAGAGAAATGCAAATCAAAACCACTTTGAGATATCTAACTCGGTAAGATTAGCCCACATCACAAAATCCCAAAACAAGAGATGCTGGCATGAATGTGGAGAAAGGGGAACACTTCTACACTGCTGGTGGGAATGCAAACTAATATGTCCCTTTTGGAAAGATGTTTGGAGAACACTTAAGAGAACTAAAAATAGACCTGCCATTTGATCCTGCAATTCCTCTACTAGGTATATATCCAGAAGACCAAAAATCACATTACAAGAAAGATATGTGTACCAGAATGTTTATTACAGCCCAATTCATAATTGCTAAATCATGGAAGAAGCCCAAGTGCCCACTGATCCACGAATGGATCAATAAATTGTGGTATATGTATACCATAGAATATTATGCAGCCTTAAAGAAAGATGGAGACTTTACCTCCTTCATGTTTATATGCATAGAGCTGGAACATATTCTTCTTAGCAAAGTATCTCAGGAATGGAAGTAAAGGTATCCAATGTATTCAGCACTACTATGAAACTAGTTCATAGCTTTCATACGAAAGCTATAGCCCAAGAATATGGGGAATGGGGAGGGGGAAGGAAGGAGTGGGGGAAGGATGGGTAGTAGGAGGGTGATTGGTGGGACCACACCTATGGTCTATCTTACAAGGGTACATGTGAATCTTTCTAAATGCAGAATATAAATGTCTTAACACAATAACTAAAAAAAAAAAAAAAGAAGAAGAAGAAGTTCAATCTGAAAATCCTTAAGAAAACTTCCAGACAAAAGTTAACTTTGTGACTTTAGTAACTGTTCAATACTGTATGGCTTTAGATTTACAGAACAAACTGAAGGAGGCCTATATTGTTAATGAACAGCCTTGCTGCACAGATACAAATAAGCCAGTCAAATAAGATAACATTTTGTGATGGACACTAATCTGAGATTATGATGATCATGAGACAGATATATGTATCAGGAAAAAATGTGAAGACTCTGAAATGGACAAAGTGATTAGTGTCTAGCACACCCTTTGGGTTATCTGTGCCTTTTATAGTCTTTTAAAATTTTTATGGCTACAGTGCAACTGACAGCAAAGCAAATTATTCTCAGTAAAAATGGAAATGAAGTTTTCCATTTCCCTCAAATGTAGTTGATTATTGCCTTATGGATATTGACTGGTCTTACATCTATTTGTAAATTAATTTTAGTGTTCCCAATAACCTACTACATATACAAGTGTTCTTTTAATTCTCCCTTGAACTAGCTGTAACATCTTACTGGTTCCCCATTGGTTACTAAAGAGCTTAATAAAATTGTTGAACTGGTTATACTACTCTAAAATAACGAAACCTATGCATTTAAAGGCAAAAGGGGAAAAACAGCATAATTAAGTGAAAGAGTAAAAAAGGAGATAAATTATTTAAGAAAAAGTATGTACAATTTGAGGATATTCTGGATGAATACCCCATGCAAAGTTAAAACCACACACAAGACTGAACTCTAAACTACAAACAACTGAACTGTTTAAATAATACAAAAGTATATTAATTGTGCTCATATGCCTTGATCTTTTCTCAAGGGCAAACCAACACTTCTGAAAAACACTCTCTTTTTGGCTTATTCTCCAAATAAACTTTATTCCACAGGTTCAAATATAAAAAAAACTTAAGCTGACTATACTAGAACAATGTTCTAACTTTATCAAAACCACATGGTGTTAACCTCTTCTGCATTTGGAGCTTCAATTTATACTGGGCAAACTGCTTGACCTGTGTTTCCGTTTTCTCATTCCTAAAATGGGGAAAACACTGAAACCTACCTCATAGGGTTATTTTGATAATTAAATGAGTTAACATACATAAAATGAGTATAACAATACGTGGTTCACAGATATTATGTTATTTTTATGTTATTTTAGTATACATTATGAAACATTTGATGAAGCTAAACCATAAAATTTATTAACCTCAATTATTTGATTTTTTAAAGGTTTTTAAAAATAAAATTCAGAAAAAACTGAAGATTAGAAACCTTTAAATGCTTTCTAAATCACCTATCTTTCACTTTTTCCCTTTTGCTCCTTATTGGAAATGAGCAGATTTGCTGTTTTCTCATTCCTCTATCTCAACATGGACATTCAGCCGAAACAGAATTACTCAATTGGGGAATGGGAATGGACTGGGGAAAGTAAACAGACCTAGCCTGTGAAGCAACAGGAAAGTATTAAAATGACTATATTCAATAATTTTATTTGTAGTCTCAAAAGAAGGCCATGCCAATAAAAAAAATGACTTTAAAAATGAAAATTGTTGGCTCGGCGCCTGTGGCTCAAGCGGCTAAGGCGCCAGCCACATACACCTAAGGTGGTGGGTTCGAATCCAGCCCAGGCCTGCCAAACAACAATGACAGTTGCAACCAAAAAATAGCCAGGCGTTGTGGTGGGCGTCTATGGTCTCAGCTACTTGGGAGGCTGAGGCAGGAGACTCACTTAAACCCAGGAGTTGGAGGTTGCTGTGAGCTATGATGCCACAGCACTCTACCCAGGGGGATAGCTTGAGGCTGTGTCTCAAAAAAAAAAAAAAAAGAAAGAAAATTGTTTTTCTGAGGGTTAAGGGAAAGAAAACAACTACTTCTCATAGATATTATGAAGGAGCAGAACTAGACCTTAAATCTCTTCCAACACTAAAATTCTTTGAATCTATGAATAGCGGAAACTTTAAGAAGCAAGACTTAGGAACCAGAAACACAAAAACAAGAATCTGCTTTTGATAAAGTAATAGCCTGATATAAAGATATGTCACTGCCTTTCTAATTTTCTAAAACAAAAACTATATATTCTTGTGCTAGAATAGTTCAACTATGTCTCAAATTCTTCCTATTTTCAACCTTTATGGAAGAAAAATGACTATTTTTATATAATTTATACAAAAAATTGAATCAGAAAATCTTTTACAAAAGAGATTCAGAGGAAGAGAAAATAATTAAGACAAACATTAAAAGTCATGCCAAACAACTGTAGTAATTTTTTAAATGTTATTTAAAAAATTCCATATCATGTCACAAAAATATTATAGCAATGTAAAATACCTATGTTTCGTAGAATTTCGACGAGTTTTTCTCTTTTGGAGTATTGGCCAACTTGGAGAACGCTCTGCTGAACATCTCTACATGCTCCGCCCACTTGTCCAACAGCAACAAACAAATAATTGGTCTTTAAAAATTCCCCAGCCAACCTTCAAAGACAAAAAATTATTCCTTGATTTATCCTCCTCCATTAAGACTCATAATGTTCACTGAATTCTTACGAGGATCACATCTATATTAATTAGAAAGCAGATGATAACAGTTATAATAAGGTGCCTACTTACATTATCAGTATAAAATGTTAAGATTTGCAAAATACATAGCTATTAGTGAATAGTTTGTGTCAAATTACTATGCATGGCACAACTATGTTTATAAACCAAAATTAAAAGTATGAACTAAATAACTATCAATAGCAAGAAGTGGGAATTTTTTATTAACAGCTGAAATTAAGTCTAAGGCACAAATTCTGTTCATCATTGTTTTTAATGTATGTTATTAGTTGTTTTCTGAAAATACTACTTGTTAAAATACTCTGCTTCAAATGATTTAAAGCAAATCATATCTTAGGTAACAGCATTTCAAGTCACAACATACACAGAAAATAATATCTGCATGGCATAATTGGGCAAGAATCTGAGCTTACCCCATGGGCCTGACAGAATCAGGCTTGCCCCAAAAGTTGAAGTTAGCAACATCTTGATACACAGTTAACTCACTATCAGCATACAAATGGGAAGTCCTGCTTTACACCCCCCAGAGACATTCCAGAAGTTGTGTATTAGAGAGCTGAGTGAGTTTTTAGGAATACATGTGGAGGCCCAAATCTTCAGTCCTTCTCCTTCCTATATAGCAGTCCCAAATTTTCTAGTGCAAATTCACCATATATCTAAATTTTAATAAACCGCTGCTTCTTTTTCCTTACCTGCTCTCTTACTGTAAAACAAAAACTTCTTTTATACCTCCTTCAACAATCAAGCACCTTCTCACTTATGCACAAATTTCTAAATCATCTGAAATTCACCACTAGTCAATCATCCTTTTTATTCACTAAAATATTTACTAAGTGTCATGTACCAGGCATATGTGTACAAGATGCTGGGAGCATAAAGATGAATATGATGTTGTTTTGTATGTGAGGCCCTCATATCAACTGGGATGTAGTTGTATAAAAAATCATTAAAATAGTTACCATTTACTGAAAACTTACTGTATTCCAAGAAGTGTGCAAAATGTTTTTTATACATAGTTTCTTTCACAAGATGAACTGACAGGTACTGAATGGAATGATGTCCATTTAGAAGAGACTAGAAGTTTGAAGCTTGATAAGCAGCGCAAGCAAGAATGTATAACAGTGACAACTAGGGGAAAGTTATTCTACACAGAAGGAAAAAAGAAGCAAGAACTAATAGTGATGAAGGACAGAATTCAGCTTGCTCTGCCAAGAGGAAATAAATAGCTTTGGTAGACCAGAAATACATGATTCCAGGTAGGAAACCAGCAGATGAAACAAGAGATTGTATCTTGTGTTAAAAGGTCTAAAAATTAGTCTATGGAGACAAGAAGACATAGGAAGATTTTAAACGTCTAAAAAGTTCAGACCTTATTTTGAAATTATCATAATACAAAAGTGAGACTAGGCAGAGAGACAGGTTAAAAAGCTACTGCCAATGAGCAGGGGAAAGCTGAAAAGGACCTACACTGCAATGGGAAGCAGAGAAGAAACTAACACAGTACCAGTATTTTGAAGATTAACTGCCAACGTGAATATTTTTCAAGGCAGAGAATTGAAGGAATATTGAGGTAAATGTCATCATGCTTCAACAAATTTTGACCTTAAAAGACTACAATGCCCTGACCAGAATAAAGAAAACTGGAGAGAAGGAACTGAAGAAAAAGTAGGTTCAATTTTGGACATGAACATGATCACTCACCTGGGAAGAAAAACACTCCCAAATAGTTAAATCTACAACTCTGGGGGTTCAGAAGAGAGATCTGGAATATGAGGAGTAAGTTTGGGAGAAAGGTAGACATGAATGTCAAAGGAATAGACACTGCAATGGTTCAGAGAAAAGGACTACAGACAAAATGGGCAACTGGTAACATTTAAGGAAAGACAATGAAGCAAACAAAAAAAATAAAGAGCAGACAATGAAGAAATTGAGAAGCAGTCAGAAATCACAGAATATAAACAACTCAAGATCAGGGACTTATATTTTGTTTTCCATATATCCCCAGGGCTTATAATCAAATATGGCTCATTTTAAAGATCCTCAACAAATATTAATGACAGTAGCACATACATATTATTCACTGTGGGTGGCAACATACAAATGATTTCCTATTTCAGGGTAAATCAAAAAGAGTCAGGCATCAGGAATATTACCTACTAATTAGGTAGGTAATTACCTACTTAATATTACCAAACCCGGTCATGGGAATGCAAATATCCCATTTCCAATTTAAGACACGATTCAACTGTTAAGACATGATTATTTTATGCACTAAGGAAAAAAAATCCTGCCAAATGACCCAATGCCTTAGGATTTAGATTTTTCCCCCCAATGAAGAACTCTTTTTAACTTTACACAAAGATTTTTATTATATAGTAAGTAAAACAAATAAATAGCCAATACCACTACTATCCAAGGGCCATGGAATATTTGACACAATTAGCACAGGATTCCACCTAACATTCTGTCAGACCAAGGGACCAACTTCGCAGAAAAGGTGGTGTTGGAATAGGCCCATAACCATGGAATCCACAGATTATATCACATACTGCACCAATGTCAGAGATTACTGGAACTATTCACAGAAAGAACAGTTCAAAGGACAGGTTGGAATCAACTCTTGATGATAGATCATCATCCAACAGGATGCAATAACTCTTCGAATCAAAAGCTTTACATAGTGCATTAGTCTGAGAACCAAGAGGTGCACGCAAGAGTGGCCCACCATTATCATTCTCTGTTAACCACATGGGAAATCTGTATTCCCATCCTTCCTCCTCCAACTCCAGGTTCTACAGGTTTAGAAGTGTTGGTTTCCAAAAAGAAAACAGTTCTACCAGAGAAAACATAAGAGTCCTACTGAATTACAGATGCTCCTTGACTTACAATGGAGGCTATATCACAATAAACTCATTGTAAGTAAAAGATACCTTAAACCAAAAATACATGTAATACCCTGAATAAACCCCATTATAAAGCTGAAAAATTATAAAATCCTAAATGGTCCAGATGCCCCTTGACTTACAATAGGGTTATATCCAATAAATTCAGTGTAAAAAATCAAACCATCATTAAGTCCAGGATGATCTGCATGAGCTACCTCTGTTGTATGGGCACATTAGGCTCCCTGTACCAACGAACCAGCAGCCAGGAAAATGAATCACCATTCTTGCAGTGATGCATCATCCTAATCTCTGAATTGATTAAACAACATAGTATACAGCATGATCTTCCAATATCTGTCAACAACTGGTATGTGAATTTTCTTTTTTGTTTTGTTCCTTCTTTGCTAAGTCATATGAATTTTCTACCAAAGTCTTAGTTCTCCTGAATCCTATACATATTGGCTTAAAAAGAAGGTAAAGAAAAATACTTCATTAAGATTTATTAATTTCCTAGCTAGGTGCTGTGTTACAACACATGAATAATTTTCAATAAAATATGGTGCTAATGCAAAGCCAGGAATAAAGATAAGAAACAATTAAAACTGTGGTAAACTTTTCAGAAATAAATCTACTTTTTAAACTACTTATGTGAAAGCTTAAAACAAAAAATGATAAATATCTAACTTAAAATATTCACATTGCTTCTACTTTTATAAAGCCAACTTATTTTATTTCTTTTTTCTTTCTTTTGAGACAGAGTCTCACTATGTTGCCCTTAATAGAGGGCCGTGGCATCACAGCTCACAGCAACCTCAAACTTTTGGGCTTAAGGGATTCTCTTGCCTCAGCCTCCCAAGTAGCTGGGACTGCAGGCACCCACCACAATGCCCAGCTATTTTTCATTGCAGTTGTCATTGTTGTTTAGCTGGCCCAAGCTGGGTTTGAACCCACTCCCCCTACCCCTGCCTTGGTGGATGTGGCTGGTGCCCTAACCACTGTGCTACGGGCACTGAGCTTAACCAACTTATTTCTAAAAAGAAAAACAATTTACCTTTGAATTTCTTCTGGAAAAGTTGCACTGAACATAAGGGTTTGACGCTGTTCCTTTGATGGCATTCCTGGGCAAGAAATTAACTTCTTCATTTCTGGTCCAAAACCCATATCCAACATGCGATCAGCTTCATCCAAAACTAAATATTTGATTTGTTTCAGACCAATCTTTAAGAACAGAAAAATGCATACTAATCTATATTAAACTAAAATATTCCGGCTGTTATAAAAACAAAGATAAGAACTCAATGCATAAAATGATGAGAATCATTATGCTGAAGATAATACTATTACTGTTTGTTTCAGTTCTCAATTTTCTCTAGTATTAAAAAACATTTTAAAATTAAGGCTAACAGAAACCAAACACCTAGACCAATGTTGTACAATACAACTTTCTACAATTACTTAAACATCCTATTATTTGCAGCATGTAACATGTTAGTCACTAGCCATATATAGCCATTAAGCACTGAAAATTTATCTATCATGATTGTGGAATTGAATTTTTAATTTTGTCATTTTAAAATTTAAATAGCCACATATTCCAGGTTCACACTTGTAATCCCAGTAGTTGGGAAGCTGAGGATCACTTAAAGTCAAAAAGATCGAGACTAGTCTGACAACATGGCCAAATCCCCTCAACACAAAAAAATAAAAAAAATTTGAATTAGCTGGGCATGGTGATATACGTGTGTTGTTTGTTGTACCAGCTACTTAGAAGGCTGAGGCAGGAGAATCACTTGAGCCGAAGCTGGAGGCTCCAGTGGGCAATGACTATGCCACTGCATTGCAGCCTGAGTGACAGAGTAAGACCCTATCTCTAAAAAAGTAAACAGCCAAATGTGGCTGCTGGTGACTTAATTGGAAAGCATAAATCTAGAGTACACTGTCTGATAATATTAGACTCTTCTTTGGCTCCTCTGGGACACAATGGAAGAAGAGGAGCTGTTGTGGGCTGCACATTAAATATACAAACAATACTGAAAGCTGATAAGCAGGAAAAGAAAGTCCATGTGTAATTTTCATGATATCCACCCCCACAGATAAGCAAAAATGTCCCCACATAATAATCCTAATTATGTAGGAGCCTATTTGAAGAGTCTTTTAAATTTTGTGAGCAGGTCCCAAGTTTGCAACTACTGATATAGAAAATGTATATATCGAAATCGGTGGTTCTCAATCTGTGAGTCCCAACCCATAGGGGCTATATTAAAGGGCCACGGCATTAGGAAGGTTGAGAACCACTGATCTAAATGATAAAATACCTTTGGGTTATTTTGATATCTTTTATTATAAAAGTGAAAGAAAAGTAGGCAACCTAAAACTAGCAGGATATTTGTGTTTGAGAAACTAGTACATTAAAATCTGGTTCAATGGAAGGAGTTGCAGTTCTCAGTGAGTTCTCAAGATGCTCGTCAGATATTTTGTTTCTAATTTTTCTCCTAATGTGCTTCATTCTTGAAAATAGTTGCTGGCAAACTGTTTGTTTCTAATTTTTCTCCTAATGTGCTTCATTCTTGAAAATAGTTGCTGGCAAATGGAGGTGCTGCTAAAAAGCAATGACTTGAATAAGGTGTGATTGTGAAGTGAGGGATATTTGTTTCTGGGCATAAAGGACCTATAAAAGTCCAGTAAAGAGATATGATCACATTTTTCTTAAAGCTGAATACCAGATTGCAGCTCTTTATGCATTCCATTTGAAAATTGGCAGGTAATATATTTATATCAACTGAAAATGGAATCATAAATGCACCAAAATATTTTCTTAGCAATCCTGAAATGTTTTCAAATTTTTTTTTTTCTTCAGATAAGAGTCTCACTTTGTCACCCTCTGTAGAGTGGTATGGCATCATAGCTCACAGTAACCTAAAACTCTTGGGTTCAAGATATTCTCTTACCTCAGCTTCCCGAGTACCCAGGACTACAGGAGCCCGCCATAATGTCCAGCTATTTTTAGAGACAGGGTCTCTTGCTCAAGCTGGTCTCGAACTCATGAGCTCAAGCAATCCACCCGCTCAGCCTCAGCTAGGATTACAGATGTGTGCTACCACACCCGGCCCAAATTCTTGTATCAAATCAAAAATCAAGCCTGCATATTTAGGATTGTGTTTAGCCAACATGTCAAAAGACATTAGATTGCTTGCCTCAGTTTGAGTTTGCTATAATTTCAGTTTCATTTAGAATACTGTTATGGTTTGAAATACTGTATTAATAAAAGCTGGTTTTCACCTTGAAAGTCCATGTTTAACTCATTTAAACAAGTGGTTAAATCCATTAAAAATGCTTAATCTATAAGTCAGTTTTCATTATCAAGTTCAGGCACCAATTTGATTTTTGATACCATAAACAACTTGATAAAATGTCTTAAGTCATAAATCTTTTCAACATTCAGCCTCAACTTAGCCATCTTACTTCTGAAAAGTAAATGATGTTTCCATAGTCAGCATCAGGCTTTTAAGGAATTCTTGGAATGGGCCATGATTCAACCCCTTGGCCCTTAGGAAATTCAGTCTTGATGACAATTTGTATGACATTTTCCTTTTTCAAGGCTTTTGTAGAGAAGTTTTCTTGATGTGCTATGTAATGATAACTTCATCAAATATGAGTTGTGAGTGGAAATTGCCTTGCCTTCTATTCATTTTACATATCCCTCTCTTTTACCTACTACTGCTGGGGCATTATTAGTAACTATTAACTGATACATTGACAACTGACAAAGAAAATTGCTTTAACATATTTTTTACTGCTTCATATAAATTTCAGTTGTATCTTTCAATGGCAGTAAAGAAGCCATTTCTTCAGTGACATTATATTCATCACCAATATCTCTAATAAAATGGCAAGTTGAGCTTTATTTGTAGCATTAATGCTATCATCCATCACCAAAGCGTAAAATTTAAAATTAGCAGCTTTATTCAACAAACTTTTATTTTCTTTGTCACCCTCAGTAGAGTGTCATGGCCTCAGCTCACAGCAACCTCTAACTCTTGGGTGCTCAAGCGACTCTCTTGCCTCAACCTCCCGAGTAGCTGGAACTACAAGGACCCACCACAACACACGGCTAGTTTTCTATTTTTAGTAGAAACAAGGTCTCTCTCTTGCTTAGGCTGGTCTGGAACTCCTGAGCTCAGGCAATCCACCGGCCTCGGCCTCCCAGACAGCTAGAATTACAGACACAAACCATCATGCCTAGCCTATTACACAAAGTTCTTTTGATAGGTTTTCCAATTTCTTCAATTCGCCTAGCTATAGTGAGACAAATTGATTTCAGAAATATCCCTCCCTTTCTCAAGGCAAATTGTATCTTCCATGCTTACTATACATTGCTTAATAAACTCCCTACCAATAAATGGTCTTGATTTCTTTGCTATTAAATATGTTACCACATAACTAGCTTTTACAATGGAATCCATCTGAGTTGTACCTTTTTAAAAAACATTTTGTTGAGAAAACACTTTAAGTTCGGCTATTTTGTCCTTTTTTTTTTTT